GTCTTCATCACTTAGTCTTACTCCATTGAGTTTTATAACCATGACACACACAGCATTCCCTGTCTGAAGGTACCTGTACACTATCTAAAATACTCTGCAACTGAATAAAATTCTGAAGTTATAGTATTAATATGAAATGAACATACTGGCAGAAGAAGCCTTAAACACATCACAGGAACAGCACAGATTATGGAATACTGGCAAGCCACAGTGACCTTTAGCATAAACCATTAGCTAACCAACGTTACAAGTGTTTTCAATAAAAATGTTTTGTTTTTGCCCATTTTAAAGTGCAGTAGATAACAAAACCCTAGCTCCATACTTCCTTCAAACATTCAGTTTGCAGTTTACCTGTAAAGTTTTAAGCTAGCTTCAATGTAGGATTTCCTCATGCTACTTTAGCATCATGGCTTGAAAGTGCAGACTCTCCCATCACAAACAGCTGCTTGCAGATCTCACAGGACGCTACTTAAAAATTTGGTCCTTGTTTCAACCAGGTTTATTATCCAGTGTTTTTGAGGCAGCGGTCATTAAAATGACAAACTAACCTGCTGTTTTCTCCCGCTCTGTGCCAGAGAACATCACTGATCCATCAGGTGATCTCTACAGCTCACATGCAGGTATTACAAAAAGGAGCAAACCCACTCTGAGCAGCAGCGAGGCTCTCTGACTTCATTAAAGGAATAATGATAGCTCACTAATCTTTCCCTTTAACAAGAAATTTAATTGAGTTTTTTAATCTGTTAGAGTGCTCTTTACAAGGCTGATAGTGGAAAAAATCCTGAACCTGGACTTATTTTTACCCCCGCCTCCAGACACACACCTTACATCTTGTCTGCATATACAGTGAGAATACCAACATATTAACAGAAACAATATTAAAGGCAGATTTCTATCAATCAAGTACATAAAAAAACTGTTGTTTTAAGTTATTTTGTGCTGAACAAAGAATTATCTGTGATATAATATTTAAATATTTCACTTTTGAATTTAAMAACACAATAATGTAAGATTGCTAACTCTAACAAACAAGCTCACATCACAGCTGTTTTAGCTTCTCTTCACTGGCTCCCGGTTCAATTTAGAATTTATTGTAAGTTTTGTTTTTAACTTTTAGAGCTTACATGAACAAGCTCCCTCTTATATGTCAGATTTGATCCAGCTTCAGTCACCATCTGACAGCTTGAGGTCATCAGGTCAGAGGTTGTTGGTGGTACTCTCTGCACACACTTTAAATCTGATGGGGATCGGTCTTTCCAAGCAGCTGCACACCGACTGGAATACATCAACTCAATCCATACAGCCTTGATTCTAATGATGCTTTAAAAATATCTTAAGACTTTCTTTTACAAACAAACTTTTAGTATACCGTTTTGTACCTAATACCGGTTTTTATTTTTGTTATATGAATTTTCTGAATACCGGACATTCCGGTTTAAATAGCGGAATGTTTCGTCGCGGCCGCCAGAGAACTGTTGTTTCCCTGGGGACATTTTTCCTTGCTGCACCGCTATGTGCGTTAGCATGCTAATGTTTGGAGCAGCTAGTTGCAGCCGTGCGTGGCGATTCCGCTGCTTATATTGACTGACGTTTAAAAAAACATCCCGTTTTCACCATCGCTGAATGTAATAAACACCTCTTCTGTGACGTGCACAGTTAGATTTAACGCGGTTAGTTAAAATGGAGACGTTATGCTGATGGAGACTTAATGTGGTTCTATTGTGAAAAGTCTGCAGGAAGTAGTTCGTAGTGGAGTTGGAATTGACTGGTGTGCAAGGTGAGTCGTGCTGAAAAGCTTTAATAAATAACATAAAACAATAAACCTGATCATAATCTTTTCTTAAGCCTCCTCCTTCACGACTGGACCAAAATGCATGACTACTGTCTCCAACCACCAGTCAGAGAAGAACAGACACAGAGGAGGGAAACAGAGACACAGACAGAGGTACAGTAAAAGAAAAAAACTCAATAAGCAGGGTTTGTACATTTTATTATCAGCTGAGCAGTGATGAAAAGAAAAATACCGTGAAACTGGTGAAAATACCGTAATATAAAATTTAGATCATATCGCCCAGCTCTAATATATATATACATATATATAGACACACACACACACACA